ATTTTGGAAGGGCACTTTCTATCCAAGACTAAAAAGGGCATATGCACTGCACAGGTTGAGCCAGATGTGTGCACGTGCCTGCGTTTTATAATGACCAAAACAACATTTCAGATGTTTTATAATGTGCTCAGCCTGACGTTTTATCCATTCACACACGTTTTCAGTGTCACATGATCTCTTTTAACAAAATCACATGACCTTTTTTAATGCGCATGCTGGAGTTTGTGCGGTAAAAGTGTTTCCATTCCAGTTTATGCGCATCTTTTCTTATCGAATAAAAAGTTTATCCTACCCAGTTAGGCGCACAAGTTTTTTTATGCGCATTTTCAAAATTTATGCGCATCATGGCGTTTCCATCAACTGGTTTTTTCATGCGCATTTGCAAAATGCGCATAAAATAGGTGGATGGAAACATAGCTAGTGACACACGGTGATGTCTGCTTGTCTCCTCCAAAAACAGCTTCAGCAGACACTGTGGTGTTCTGAATGTTAATAATATGTTTGCGGCAGATGGACACGAGTCGCTTTCTGTATGTCCAAAACCAAAAGCTTCAGTTAAAGCAGAATGACCGCAATGTGCGGACGTCTTTCCATTTCGGCGCTTGCTTTCGTGACCGTCACCTAGCAACAGCCGTAAACAAAACAGCAGCTCGATGACGCAAGCGCACCGGGATTCAGAAGGAAAAAAGACAGTATAAACACAAACCAACCGAGGAGGTGGCTGGGGGAGACAATCAAACTTGGGTACGGTCCAGGCAAAGGAACCAAGTGTGAAAGCACCCTAAAATAAAGTTAATAACATGTTAGTATCAGTATGTTAGTCTTAAGGATATATGGAAGCTATTGTGACTCAAAACAGTGAGGAAATTTGTGTTTAGAACACATACCATACCTTCCAACACTCCCGTTTTTCCAGAGAGTCTCCCATATTTCAGACCCATCTCCCGCCCTTCTCCCATATTTTTCTCCCGGAAAACTCCTAGAATTGACCCCACCTCCCGGTTCTCAGCTTATTGGTACAGTCCGGCTAGCTTTTGGGTTCAGTCCCCATGCACACCGAACCCAACACACAACCATCTACATAAACCTCCCCCCCCCGCTCTTCACTTCGTGCGCACCACCGGATAAAATCTCCCAGATCCGAATGTTGGCAGGTATGAGATTTACACATCCAAAACCGCTACATAAAGGGATCGACAATCACCTCATAATTCAATTTCACATACAATTTCGACCAATCAAATGCTCTCTTGTATCTGACATGCCACGCCCCTTTCGAGACCCTTTTCATTTGATGCAATTAATCTCACTGGTAGAGCTGTGATAAAAACAAAAGCTATTGGATGTTTTTGTTAAAGGGGAGAGGCTACTGTATGCCCCACCCTGTCTTCAAGTTTCAGTTGAGATTATCCCTGCTGAAAAATCCAGCTTAAACCAGCCTAGCCTAGAGGGGGTTTGTCCATTTCCAGGCTGGTTTCCAGCCATTTCCAGCCTGGTCTTA